GTCTGTGGACAGAATTTGCAGACGAAGGTCCTTTCGCCTGTATGTGTCCGCTCATGCGTTGTAAGATTGGACTTGCAGGCAAAAGTCTGTGGACATAATCTGCAGCTGAAGGGCCTCTCGCCCGTATGAGTACGATTGTGTATCGTGAGATAAGTAGCCGAAGAAAAAGTCTTTCTGCATATGTCGCACTGGTGTAACCGTTTTAAGGAGTTGCCACTAGCCCTTTCCATTATCCTGGATTCCTGACCGTTAACGTCAAACTTATTTCCAAAATCTGTCACAATAGACATGTAATGGATGCAAAAATATCATAGATTCGTTCCTAGTGTCGTTGTCCTTGATTTTTTTTGGTGTTACAGGAATGGTCTCAAAATTATCATCATGATATCTTCTTTTGAAAACATTTCTTGTCTGCCAATAAAAAGAAAAAAAATAAAAATTAATTAGTATCTAGTAAAAATTTGTGATTTTGTTAATTTTACAACATTTTCAGGAAGATGGGGTGTGATTCACTTAACGATGAAAATGTTAAAAAAAAAAAAAAAAAAAAAAAAGAATCATAAAGTTTTCTTTTGTTTCATCTTCAACATAAGCTCAAATGGAAGTTGTCAACAAAGTTGTAAAAAAATAACTATTTTGCTTGATGTAGTGGTGAGAATGTTTTGAAAAACTGACATGTTATTTATTACAACTTCATGCGGAAAACAAGGACGCACTGAGTACACCGTATGCTGTCAGCTTGAATTTTTACATGGGACGATGGCTTTTTACAAAATCACTTCAAGAAGCCGTTCTACATTTTTTTTGTGTTTTTGTTTAATGGAGTGGGAAGGAGAAAATCTTCATAGACACCTCAGCTAATACGGTGGTAGTGTCGGATTCACCCGGTGTGCCTACCGACTAAAAACTAACCTCCCCGCATGGGACAGGTCTGTGAAGACCACTCCCCTGGAAGACAAAAGGGCATAAGAGAAGAAAGAAGAAGGAAAATAACGGAGTATTTCGGAGACCAGCTCGCTCTAAAATGCATGGATGAGAGGAGGGGCACTTACACATCTGGGCAAAGCTCGAGCCGTTCTACTCAAAATTATAATCTAAAACTTGGTATGAGCTTTATTGAGACTTTGTGTACTTTAATGCTATATCATTCAAATCCCTAATTTCGGAGATATATAGCACACATTTATCAAAAGAAGATTAGATACCTTGAATAACATTCTTTAATTTTTTTAAAGTATATTATTAATACACGAATGAGTACTAGCGAGTTGAACACAAATGCAATTTCCGTAATCAATAAAGCGGGCGTTTTTGGGTTAAGTTAGTACAGCATACTTGGTTATGGTGCCTTATGCACATACATGTGCTCCCTTTCACATCCTTTTATATAGTTTGTATAGTTTAGCTCTATATCTTACAATATGGTAGGTACAACTACTAAACAGAAATACTTATTATTTTTACAATCCGTCCTGCCCTTTCACTACATCTCCCAAGTTATGAATAGTAAGAAGAAGAAAACAGTCTTTTTATTATTTACAATTTTAAAAAATTTACCTTTTTGTTCTCGATTTTCACTAGTCACTCAAATATAAACGATTTTTGGATGCTCCAAGTATATGCTGCATCAATTTTTTCTGAAAAAAATATCGATCAAACTATTAAATAATCGAAGCGAACTTGTACCCAGTGAGTAAATAAGTAATATGTTTTCTGCAAAATTTGTTTCACCTTAATCACTAAAGTTAATGGTTTAGTTTTGAAGATATTTTCAATATTATATGATCTACACTGGATGCAGTGAATATTCTTTTAAAGTATTGCCACGACTATTGTATACTTTAAATTTTTGTGGATAAAGACAAAACGACCATCTATACAGTCAAACGCTCAAAATGCCAATGCTTTTACATCAAATCAAAGAATTTCTATTGTAGTGTCCGGTGATAGGCAAGATATGTTAATAGTATTATAATGGGCGTTGGCTGTGTTTGTGTCAGGTACCTTTCAAGCGTCTTTTCTTCGGTTTTGTCGTTTTAACAAAAATTATCACATGTCTGGCTTGTAACTATTAACAAAACTTGTCTTTACTCTTGCGAAGTACTTGTCAAACTTGCGGGGTGCCCATAAGATTTAGTGGGATCGAACTAGCTGAAATATCGGTCATTTTTCATATAATTCAGACGAGTTTGAAAAAAATATGTTGTAGAAAATTAAATAATGCCAATCGATTGTAAAGAAATCGAACAAAAAATATTTTCCACTAAGGTTAAACAAAAATGTTAAAAATGGTATAACATGTTTTTTAACGCCGGGAATGGACAATAAGCCTTAAAATA